TCCTAACTAGGGCCACATAGTAGTTGGGGAAGGTGAGTGCCTATCAGGCACCCTACCGGCTTGTTGTTCTTCCGGCGGCTCTTCTCTTCTCTGGCTCCGCACGGCGTCTCGGCTTGGCTCTGCAGCGGCTCCCTCTGGGGCAGTTCCTTCGTCCACGACTAAGCGACAACTGCTGCGCCAGCCTCCGTCCTGATTGGCTCCAGCCGTGCTGCACTGCTGCGTCACCGCATCTCCGGACCAGTCCCCACTTGGAATGCTCGCCTGCTCGCTGTTGGATTTCACCGCCATTCTCTGCCATCCTCCGCTGGATCGCCGGATCCCCCTGTCGTCGCCGACACCACCACCGCTCCTCTCGCCGCCGCTCCACCGGAAAGCGGGTGCCCCCTGCACCTACGGCAGGTACCCATTTATCTACTTGTAAGCTTTCGAACCACTGGGTGGGCGGGAGCTAGGACGAGGGCCGGGAGCTCACCCCGGCCGCGGTGGGACTCGAACAGCCTTGTGGCCGTTCGTTGATAGTTTAACTTGCAGTCTCTTTACTGCCTGCGCCACCGCTCCTTTCCCCACCGCTCATTTAATACATATAAGGCAAAGGTTGAACAGCAAAGTAGAATACAACATAATAAAGATGTTTTAACAGATGCAAACAGGAATAACAAGCTAAATTTATAAGGTCATCATTGTTTGGATTTAATTCAGGGGGAAACAGTGAAGCAAATAAATATGTCGAAATTGGAGATAGATGTGTAAATATATCCTTCTTAATTGTGGACTACTAAGAGTAATTGACTGAGACAAAAAGTAAAAGTTATTGATCCCTGGCTGCTCCAGTTTAAAATAGTCTATCTGGGGATAAAAATGCACAGTTACCTGAACAGCCAAAGATTTTGGGGTTATTTGGTATTCCCCATCATGGATGGTTTGGCATCCTTGACTGAGTAATCTAGGACCACGCATGCCTTTTTGGAGTGCACTAGTTCTCTCCAGTTGGCACACTGTGGTCTGGATTGCTTTGTTTGGGCTGTAGAGGGCTAGTAGATAGGCAGCCCAATAAGTAGGTTCTGGATAATGTTATTCTGGCACTACCATGCTTTTTTCCCCCTCACTGTGTGTGGGGGTAATGTCAGGAACCCAGAGACTATGGAAGAAGCCCACACTGTGCCCCCCTCCCCAATACCAGCATCAGCCTGGTATGGGAAACTGGGGGAAGGCTGAAGTGCTGGGAAACTGCAGCTTCATGTATTTATTATTACATTTTTTAAAAAATCCCACCTCTCCTCATGGAGTTCTGGGTACAATCCTAGTTCTCCCTTCCACCATTTTATCCTTGCACTCACCCTTGATTATGCTGAGAATGAATAGAATGGCCCAAGACTACCCATTGAGCTTTATGGACCAAGTGGTGCCTTGAACCAAGGTCTCCACAGTTTCACTCTGGAAGCCTAACCATCACACACAACAGGCTCTACTTTCTTCCTGTTGGATCTGGGGAGTCTCACATTACCCTGCTGGGAGGAGGAGGAGTGCAGGCTTCCCACATCTTTAGAATTCATAGTGGAGGCCAGGTCAGCCAGAACCACCCACTGACAAAGGCATTCCATCCACTGTCCGTTCCCTATGAATTCTAACTGCCATACACCAGTATATTGAGAGCCAGTTTGGTGTAGTGGTCAGGAGTGCGGACTTTAATCTGGGAGAACCGGGTTTGATTCCCCACTCCTACACATGCAGCTGCTGGGTGACCTTGGACAAGCCACAGTTCTCTCAGAGCAGTTCTCTCAAGAGCCGTTCTCAGAGAGCTCTCTCAGCCCCACCTACCTCACAGGCAGTGTTCCCTCTAAGCTGAGTTAGTGTGAGCTAGCTCACAGTTTTTTAGCCTCCGGCTCACACATTTTTGTCTTAGCTCAGGAAGGATGGCTCCAGAGCAAACTAATTTATGCAGTAGCCCAATCCCTCACTCACAACTTTAATGCCAGTAGCTCACAAAGTAGAATTTTTGCTCACAGGACTCCACAACTTAAACATAAGAACATAAGAGATGCCAATGTTGGATCAGGCCAAAGGCCCATCCAGTCCAACACTCTGTATCACACAGTGGCCAGAAATACCAGTGCCATCAGGAGGTCCACCAGTGGGGCCAGGACATTAGAAGCCATCCCACTGTTGACCCCCCCCCACGAGCACCAAGGTGACAGAGCATCACTTGCCCCAGAGTCCCTATCTATACCTTGTGGCTAATAGCCACTGATGGACCTCTGCTCCATATGCTTATCTAATTCCCTTTTGAAGCCGTCCATGCTTGTAGCTGCCACCACTTCCTGTGGCAGTGAATTCCAAGTGTTAATCACTCTTTGGGTGAAGAAGTACTTCCTTTTATCCATTCTAACCCAACCGCTCAGCAATTTCATGGAGTGCCCACGAGTTCTTGTATTGTGAGAAAGGGAGAAAAGTACCTCTTTCTCTACCTGCTCTTTCCCATGCATAATCTTATAAACCTCAATCATGTCACCCCTCAGTCATCGTTTCTCCAAGCTAAAGAGCCCTAAGCGCTTTAACCTTTCCTCATAGGGAAAGTGTTCCAACCATTTTATCATTCGAGTTGCCCTTTTCTGCACTTTTTCCAAAACTATAATATCCTTTTAAAGGTGTGGTGACCAGAATTGCTTAGAGGGAGCATTGCTCACAGGGTGTCTGTTCTGGGGAGAGGAAGGGAAGGAGATTGTAAACTGCTCTGGGACTCCAAGTCTCTTCTTCTTCTCGATAGTGAAAACGGCGTGGCAGGAATGGTCCAGCCCTCCTGTAATATATGGAAACTGTCTTTTGTTAAGAGACAGGCTTAAGTCATAAGTGGAACTCCCTCTCTTCACATGAATGGGTGTGTCTTCTGGGATATACTAGTTAGAACTGGGTTTTTGGTAGTTAGGACTCCAGCCGTTGTTAAGTCTAAGCTGTTTTTGCTTTGCTGTTCTGCTCATTAAAGACAGGTTTGAAGACATCTTTCCTGCTGTGTCTGTCTGACCTCAGGGCAGACCACTTACCCACCTCCATAGGGGGAAACACTTTTTAGAGGAGCCAAACACCATACCTCCAACCCAGATGAATGTTGGCAAGGCTGGTCAAGAGGATGCGGACTTAGTCCTGCCCACACTGTCAAGGTATGAGCCCTCTGGCGTGGACATCAAGTATAGGTCATGGAAGTCTATTGGTTTGTTGTATGGTGGCAGAGCTATACGTTGAAGCCTACTTGCACTGAGGCAGGCAGATCTAAATGGTGGAAAGCTGGGATATAAATCTTTTAGACTGCACAGATAACAAATATGCTCACCTCTGTAGAATTTCACGTATGAGAAGATGCCTGAAACAGCTCAGCTGTACATGTCTCTTCCCCAGAGATGTACACATGTATTGCACATTTACGCATATATTAACTTTCCCCAGCACTGTAGACAAGTGAATGACATAAGAAAGCCCCTCCACTGTACACCAACTTATCAAGTGAAGCAGCCTTGTCGTGAGAGGGGACCAGTGACTCACATCTGTGGAACATCATGAAAGTCTCCTGTGAGTTGGAGCCACACAGTAAGCATATAAAGGGATGAGCTGAGCTGCTAAAGGTGGCACATGTCGCAGCATAGTGGATAGCAGTGCTAAGAAGGTGATTGACAAGTAATCCGAGAGGCTAAAGGGGGGGGGGGGGAGCCAGAGACATTATGGTGAGAGATGAAATGCAGGCAGGGTCTTCTTCACATTATGAGATCAACATCCAGCTTTTAAATAGCCCTGGGTAAGGGTGGATTTCTCAGAGGGAAGATAGCACAGGAAATGAAGTCCCAGGCCATTTACTATCCTCTGTCTAGTTTAGCTCTTTATGAGATTGAACCACCCTGCAGTGGAAATCGTAGCAGCTGTGAAATATCGCAGTAGATGTTCTGTCTCAAAAGAGAAATCCCAGAGAAAAGCAGCATGGCAGGATGTTCCTGTTAGTTTCTTCCAGTCTGTCTGACTCCCTTGAAAATGGAAAATAGTAGAAGAAAGAAGTTATACTCCCTTTTTGAAAGGCTTGTGAAGTTTCAGGGTGTAAACTTTTAAAAAGGGATCCGTGCCCTCACTCTGTATATGTTTGCACCTTGAATACAACAACCCTGTCCTAACCCAGTCCTTCGCACCTATCTTTTTTGGATATATGGGAAAGATTACAGTTCCAGTCTGTAAAGGAAACCATTTAGTTTTGAGTCTCCTCCCCCTCTTCCACACAAGATCCCACCCCCCCTTGTGAAAGGACAATTGCCAACTACAGACACTGCCAAGGAGGCAATTATCTGTGAGCTCTACAAAAGGAAACTGGTATTGACCAGTTGCTGGGAGAGAGAGGCAGAGACCCAGTGAGGGAGAGGGGGGAGAGGTATATAAAAAGACGGAGGAGAAGTCTCCCTTTGGTGCTCAGACACGTTGAAATAAACTCTTGATTTCTCTCCTGTGTTGATTCCCCCCCCCCCAAGGCGAGCCCAAAGGGTAGTATTTTATTTTTTTGGAGAGAGAGAACGAGACCCTTCCTTCCAGCCGCCTTCGTCACCTTTCCGCTCCCTCCTGGGGGTTGCGTGCGGGGAAAGGGCACAGGTCAGGGAGATGCACCCACCGGTTTCTATGGATAGATGTCGCACCAGAGCCCCCTGCTTCTTCTTCCACCTCAATGAGTTTCCTGACTCGCACGTTGCGAGAGAAACAGCAGCACACGCCTGAGGGGGAGACTCTCCGCTCTCTTTGGAGCGCACGGCAACCGCAGACCTCTCCAGAAGCCAGGAACCCCCCTTGGAGCCATGCGTGCCGTCTGAGCTGGCAGGAGAAGCTCGCCGTGCGGGAAGCAGCCAGCCGCTGCCAGCCTTGTTGCCCCGCGTCCGGGCGTGAAGAAGCCCGTGAGTTGGGCAGACAAGCAGGAGCGTTCAAGCAGCAGCAGCAGCAGTTGCTGCAGCTGAGTCAGTCCACACGAAGTCAGCCTCGCTGAGCGCACAAGGACCCAGGACTTGCCTTCCACAGAGAGGACAGGTAAGTGAGGGGCTCCAGCCCCAGATCACAGACTGACTGCCCTAGATGAATTGGGAAAGGCGAGCGGCTCAAGGACTGGGTGTCCTAGGACAGGTCTGCGCCACAGAATCTGGTGTGCTTTCTCTCTTCTCTCGGTTTTCCTATCTTGCGGCAACTAAGCACAGTAAATAAAGTGAGTGAGCTTGTATTGGGAGGCAGTGGGACAGCAGTTTGTTGGTTTCAAGTGCTCAGGGGAGATGGCTAAAGGCAGAGGAGGTGAAATCCAGCATTTGGGGATAGGAAACAGAGAGAGACCAGGAAGCTCCAAAGAGACAGGGGCTTTGGTACAGGTTGTCTGTCTGTTCTCTGCACCTGGATCACCTTTGTTCTTTGTATGTTGGCTATGTCTTCCTTACCTGTCTGGAATTGAGAAGGCAGGGCTGCATTTTAAGGTACTCTGAAAAGCACCTGGCATGGAATCTGAAACCTCTGTTGAGTCATAAGAAATGTAAAACATCAAGTCCTGAAAACAGAACATTTCAGGACCTAGTGCTCTCCTGATGGATTATGAAATAAAAAGCCGAGAGGCTTCAGAAAAGGGGAGGGGGAATTGGCAAGTACTAATCTTGCCGGCAGTTAAACCAGCCTCTGACCACTTCGATGACCCTACCGTCATCACTGTCTCACCATGCCTCAGTTTCCCCACTTGCAAGAAAGTACTGACAATCAACATATTGTTATGTACTGGCTAATATGTTGTCTTAAATCAGTTCAAGGACTTAAAGATACAAATAAGAAACAAACCCGCACATCTAAACAGTAAAACTTCTAAACAGTAAAACTTCCGTTGTTGTAAAAGCAGAGGTATAAATTCAATTTGAGCGACAGTTGTTTGTCTGCACCCCTCACTCTCTTCCGGTTGATTTTCTTATAATTAGTAGACGGTCAGGGCTTTGTCGTTCATTTTTACAATGCGCCACACACATACTCACCCCACACATAAAGGGTGTGTGGTGAGACAATAAAGGTGATTTTTGTGAGTCAGAGAAAAACGGATGCAAACTCTCCCCCCCCCCCCGGCGCAGGGGGGGGGTACTGAGTAAAGCCAGAGTCTGCATGGTGCATGAAAGACAAATGTTCTGAAGTACACATCACATGTTGCTCCAGCATTTCTGTAGAGGCAATTAAAAGAATAATGGCAGCAGAAACCAAAGTGCTGAAGGAAATGAATCTTCATGCACAGTGCCCAAAAAAACAAAAAACCCAGGTGAGATGGTCAGGAGCCTTTTCAGGATCAATAACCTGGCAAATGGAATGAGATTCTCAAGGGCATCATAAGGTGAATGCTAATAAAATGAAAATCTCAATAGCCTGGAGAGAAGTAGCATCTCTGACTGCCTCTTACCACAATGCCTCCCACTTGTTGGATGGATATCTGTATAACTACTAATCTAATAGGCAGAGCACTTCAATGGATAGAGTTTGAATATTGTAAGCAATTTGAATATTGTAAGGAATAAAAAAAAATCTGTTGATTACCAACATCAGTCTATTGTCTTGTTTGACCTTGGATCAGGCATTCAATTTAACTGCGCCGCTGTAGAACCAATTTGCAGGGCGTGCCAAAAAGTAAGACCAAGGAGCTTGGAAACATAACATACAAATTGTGTCGGACTGCAAAATGGCAGTAATGATTAATAACAACACAGCCTACTATTAATGACCTGAAGTGTGTCCATAACATGGGAGTACCCTAATCTGGGCAGGTGGAACGTAAAATTAATAAGAACATGACTATAAAAGGCATCTGTATTTACACTGTGTACATTTTTTGTTATACACAGAGCAGGAGTTTAGGCCAGAAATAATGGGTGAATAAAAGTGTGTTTTCGATAATACACAAAGCATTAATCAATTAATTGCTGCAATTGAACTGATTTTTTTTTAATTGAGAGATAGTTTGGTGTAGTGGTTAAGAGTGCAGACTGTAATCTGGGAGAACCGGATTCGTTTCTCCACTCCTCCACATGCAACTGCTGGTGTGACCCTGGGATAGTCATAAATTCTTTCAGAGCTGTTCTCTCAAGGGCAGCTCAGAGAGCTCTCTCAGCTCCACTTACTTCACAGGGTGTCTGTTGTGGGTACAGAAAGGGAAAGGAGATTGTGAGCCGCTCTGAGACTCCTTTGGGTAGTGAAGGGCAGGGTATAAATCCAATCTCTTCTTCTTTTTTAGATAATAGTTTGTTTTTTAAACTTACAGTCCACCACCCTGGTCATACTGCTCATCCTCCAGCTATTAATAAGAGTACCAAAACTGCCTGCATGAATAATAAAAATCAGGGATAAAATACTTTGGCAAAAGGACGTCCAAATTTCCTACAAAAATGAACGGAAGGAAAATCTGTTAGAGAGTTTCTGCCTTGATTGCAGCGCAGTCCTAAGCGAAGTTACATCTTTCTCAGTCCACTGAAGCCAATGAGCTTAGAAGGGTGTAACTCTGCTCAGCAATGCACTGTAACTTACTGATCCTAAGCACATTTACTCAGAGATACTAGATTTCATGGTGCTCACTCCCAAGTAAGTTTGCATAGCCTTGTCTCCTTAGATGGGAGTTTATAGAATGTCTACAGGGTCATTTCACACGTACTGCAGAGGCAAAGCTGGATTTGCAACCCTGAGGAGTGTATTGATATGACACACATGTTGACAAACAAAGGCCCCGGTCATATGGGCCGGAAAATGTGGGGGGGATGCGTGGCTGTTTGCCCCAGAGGAAAATAACGCGCAGTTGCGCGATCAGACGTCCCTTCGAGGTCCCGTGGAGGTCCCATGGTTAGGGGGCAGGTGCCGATCACACGATGATCCTGCAGCGCGGCAAAGAAGCGGTGCGGCACGATCACACCAGCAATCGCTAGGCGCCGCTTCCATGGCAAACAGGATGGATTTTTAAAAAAACCACTGAAGTTTGTGCATACGCATGACTGAGCAATTGTATCTGCACATCCGAAGGCGAGTGGTGGGCTTACCGGAGAGGGCGATAGACGCTTCCAGACCCCAACAGAGCTCTGAGGCATAGCCAATGGAGGGAAAGGTGGGCCCCCTCATCACAGCCGCTCTAACTGCCTGCGCAACAGTGGCCATAGCGACCCTCCAGAGGCGGCAAGCCTGGCTGCAGTGGGAGGGGGGCTCTTTGTGTGCATGCACCATTGGGCACTTGTGCGCATCCTGTGGAGACTTGGGGAAAAAAACCTGTTCGCGACGGGACATGGGCGGGCACCGGATGCCATGACCTACCACCGGAAACTTGATCAGGCGCCTGCCCTTGCCCCACAGTTTCCGGAAACTAGTACCTCGGAGGTACTAGTTTTTTACCCCGCATCTTCGGCGGGAAGCCTCGGGTTCGGCACGGGAGCTATACGCTTCCCAGATGTGGCGGTGTGATCGCGCCCGGAAAATCCACCTATCTTCCATCTCTGTAGCGTGGCTAATGTTTCGTGTGACCGCAGCCAAAGATTTGTTGCAGTCAAACCATTTCAAGAAAGTCCCTACCAGTCAGAGATGCTGAAGGAAGCTCTGAAATCGACCTCTGCCACCAAAACAATCAGAAAGGCTCCTTGTCTTCTGCTTTTACCATCTCTCCACCTGTCTTAATGACTGCAGAGTCTTGCTGAAGGAGTAGCTATATTTACTGCCTACCCCGCTAGGCCAATGAGATCATGGAGGTGGACAGACCGGCAAATGGGAGGACAGGTGTGCTAGTCTTTCTGCCTGCCTGCCTGCCTGCTGCTGCTGGTTCCTTTTGCATGGCAGATAAGAGGAACAGAGAGGAAGATTCTCAGTGTCCTAGCATTACATTTCGGGTGACTTAATTGATTTATCTGCTTTTGAAAGCTTGAATAGTTGTAGCCCTTGTCTGTGGGTAATAAGTGACTGCAGTCTGGAGAGCACTGAAGTACTCAGTTAAGCACTTACAGTGGAAGTGGAATGGCAAGCTGTAATCTAAAGATGATTGACTAAGAAGTCAGCCTTGTTATTGGCCGATCCAGCAGGGATCTTCGTAAGCCCACTGAACTCAGTGGGACCTACTTCCAAGTAAGCATTTTAGGAACCGGCTTCCAAGCATCACATGACTTTCCCTAAGGTACATGCCTTGGTCCTAATCCAGTTCTAACAGCATGCAAGTAGTGGCCCTGCATGGGCAAGCCCATCTCTGTTTTGCATGAAGACATATGTTGGTTCATCACTGTCCAAATAAGCATCGCAATACAAAGGCAGATGTGCATCTGTCTCCCCACTGGCCACCTGTGAGGAAGGTCTCTTCCTTTGGCAGTGTCCTGGGCTGGTTTGTAATTATGTATTTGTTGTGCTGTAAACATTTGGAAAAGAATGGGGGGGAGATCAATTATTCAACAGCATTTTGAAAATAGAAGTTAAAGAACAAATTATGAAGTCAGTTGTGCTCCCAGCCCTTTACTAAATATATTAAGTGTCTTAGACAAAAGGGCTCCCTCCTTTTCTCAGAGAGACCATTTAAATCATTCACACATCACAGTGTACACAGGTTGGGTCTTCATTTGTGTCAGGGGTGACAGTCAGACATGAGTTGCAAGCTCTCCTCAACTCCCATGCAAGGGTGTAGACTTTCCAATTTCCCGGGGGGGGGCTGGGGCTAGGCCAGAGGCATTGCTGTGCTAGGAGCAAGGGTGGCTCCCGGGGGAGGCTGAGCACCTTCCTGAAAATTTCGGCGGGGGCTGAAGCCCCGCCGCCCCCACGAAGATTACGCCTATGCTCCCATGTATGCTGTACCCAATTTGGATTGGGATTAGGTGCTCGTAGAGAAGGGGCTTCAACCTTCCCCCTTGCACCATTTCCCCAGCTTGATAAAGTCCAGGGGGGCACTATTTGGCCCACTGAAGAAACCTAAGTGTTCCTTTGGATACACATATGTTACCTCAACAGGTGAAATAGAACATTCCCAGGGATACTGCAAGTTGGAGAAATGACACCAGACAGGAGGAGGCTCGAAGCACAGTGGGTGGCACAGTGGGTATATCCCACTGTCTTAACATCTGAACTGTGTCAGTTCGAGCCCCGCGCTGGTGTGAGCAGCCAGCCTGTTGTCCCCAGCTCATCGTCCACCCAGCGATTCGAAAGCTTCAGCGAGTAGATAAAATGGGAACCACTCCTTAGAGAGGGTGGGCACACCAATCACCCTTGTGGGAGGGTGTTAGCTGACAGTCAGGACGTCTTGGTCGAGGTTCGGAAAAGGCGGAAGAGCTTCTCGGCTACAAAAATCCCCGCAGTGGATGTTTCCGGCCAGGCGATGGCAGTGTGGCGATTTGACATACGGGTCCTGAAGCCTGGTCGACAAAGCAGCCGTTCGGAAAATGACTGAGCCAAGCCAGAAGACGTTTACACCGTGCAGTGACAGCATGTGCAATTAAAATGAATATATGTTGTCTTCCCTATCCCCTATGAACATTGTTAGTCCCCTGTCTATAACGTGTAACTGTAAATCGCTTTGAGCCCACTGGGGAAAGCGATTACTAAATTTAAAGTATTATTATTATTATTATCATCATCATCATCCATTCACACCATATCCCAACCCAAATCAAGCACCACACACAGGAGTTGAGGATGTCTAATACAGGTTAGAAAACCCAGACCCAGCCTGTCTACTCCATAATGTGTGATTCAGAAATAAGGTATCTTCATATATTACCTCAGATAGAGATAGTCACATTCCCTGATCTGGGTAGCCCCAGGCTAGCCTGATCTTGTCAGATCTCAGAAGCTAAGTAGGATCAGCCCTGATTAGTATTTGGAAGGGAGACAACCAAGGAATACCAGGGTCATGATGCAGAGGTAGGCAATGGCAAACCACCTCTGAACATCTTTTGCCTTGAAAACCTTATGGGGTCACCATAAGTCAGCTGTGACACGACAGCCAAAAAAAAAAAGGACAGTCCCCACCAGTTGGGTAGAAGGGACCAGGTTTTGAGAGAGAGAGAGAGAGAGAGAGAGAGAGAGAGAGAGGGAGAGCGAGGAGGCTCTGAGAGAGAGAGAGAGAGAGAGATCTTCAGCAAGCCTTTAGATCCATTCAGACTACACAGATCTAATTTAGCCCCAAATAGCCTCTGAGGCAATCACCTCAGGGCTTCTTCTCTCCTATATTTTTATACAGCACTATACTGAGCATTATTAAATACTCTGTTCTTGTTCAGGCTTACAGAACAAAGCTCATTTCTGTGTTGAATTCCATTTGAACTCTGGGGCAACTTCACATTGTATTTTGGACTGCCTGGATTCTTTCGCTCAAGAAAATGGTCTGGTATGTTGGCACCACAGATCAGTTTTCTGCTTGTGTCTCAGTGTGGTCTAAAGTGGGACCTCTTGGGACCTCTGGCTGATGTAGAGTCTTCCTATTGGCAACAAGGGGATAGGCTAGATGTACGGTTGCCAGCTCCGAGTGGGGAAATACCTGGAGATTTGGGGAGTAGATCCTGAGGCAGGTGGGGTTTGGAGAGGAGAAGGGTTTCAATGGGGTGTAATGCCATAGACTCCACCTTCCAAAGCAGCCATTTTCTCCTGGTGAACCGATCTCTGTCGCCCGGAGGTCAGTTGTAATAGCAGGAGATCTCCCGCCACTATCTGGAGGCTGGCAACCCTAGGTAGATGTCTTGTTTGGTTCGATCCAAATCATGGCTGACCCAAGACATTTTGGTGCAAGAGACAGAAAATGCTGGTCTCATCAGTGAATAAGGAGCATAGTCCAGTGGGGGGTTCTGTACAGAAAGAAGGTGTGTAAGACGTAAACTTACCTTTTGAACCTGAAGTAATTTTATTAAATGCTAGGCGAAAATTACAAATTTCTCCAATGAATAATATTGGAATAGCACTATTATTACATGCTGCAAAATTAGTTATAGCAAAACAGTGGAAAGCAGAACATATTGTTTCTTCATCTTTTTGGTTTGGAAATATATGGCAATTATATTTAATGGACAAAATTAAGTGGTCTATTACAAATGTATCTTATGAAAAATATAAAATAGAATATTCTGTTTGGTTACCAATACTGGAATTTTTACAGTCACAAAGAGAAATAACAGAAGAAAGTTTAATATGACTGAATTAAGTTAAAGATTTGATTTTGATATATATATGTTATGATAATTAACGTTTGTTATTGTATTGTTGGTTTCAAATTTATTGTTTAACAAGTTTAAAATTAATAAAATATATTTTTTAAAAAAGAAGGTGTGTAAGAGCAAAATAGTGTTTATGCAGAGTTCCCATTCATTTCAATGGGATCTGCACCGGGGAACTTGCCAGTTATTTATTTTTTAAATTTTTTATTTTATTTTATTCCATTTATATCCCACTCTCCCCAAAACCGACTCAGAGCAGATGACAAAAATTTATAAAGCATACATTTCAAAAACTTCCCAGTGTAATCACATTCAATAAATACAATAAAATCACTAAAACAGCTACTATACAGTTTTAAGACAGTGTAAAAACTCCTATGGAGGGCAATGTATAGGCCTCTGGTAGAAGGGGAAAGGGAGGGAAGTGGGGGGGGAGAAGGGAAGGAGGAGGACTTTCTCTTGCTCTGTCAACTTAACCATATTCAAAATCTCCAACTGAAATGCCCACCTCCTCTTGTTTATGCTGGGGCAGCTTTTGTTTCAGATCCATGATCGTATGAAAACCCCCCCCCCAAAAAAAAAATCACTTGAAAGTGTTCCCATTGACTTCAATGGAAATTACTCTCATATAAGGTTACCTTTAGATCAATTCATACTACACTGCTTGAATCTAATTTACCTCAGAACAGCCTCCTCAGGCAATCACTTCAGGACTTCTTCTCCCCTATATTTTTATACAGCACTATACTAAGCATGACTAAATGTTCTGTTCTTGTTCAGGCTTACAGAACAAAGCTCGTGGCTCGTGCCCTGTGGCTTCTTTTCCCCACAATGACGGTTTCTGTGTTGATACCTTCAAAAATTAGAAAATGAATCAAATTGTTTTAAAATGTTCCTTTCTTAAAAACAAAATCTTCAGAAACAAGGCTACAAAGAAAACTCAAGGATGGATGACCAGGTCTGGATATATAACAGTGGCCTCTGAGAATATATATAACACGTTACATAAACAGTTTCTAAATAAAGAGTGCACTAGGTACTCAATTCATCTTTTATAGGATCTTATCCAAAACAAATGAGGTCCCAGCAAATCTACCCTAGCACGACATTTCCTTACAGGCTACCCGCCTATGCTTCTTTCTTTTAGTCATAACCAAATGTTCAGTGGGTGAGAAATGTGGCTGACACCTCTAGACCCCCTGTAGTTTTAGCAACTGGCATGCTTACACTTCAATTATGTAAGACAGTGCTGTTCTCTCATTCCTCACTTCACCCAAGACTCTTTGCTCAGGAATTGCAAGAACCAGGCCAAGGCGATAGCTTGGGTATATGAACTATCAGTGTAATAACAACAACAACAACAATAATAATAATACAGAAGGTCATTCCCTGACTAGTCATCTTCAGCAAAACAACCATCATACTTCCACAGTTTTATTTTTGATTTTTTTTTTCATGCGTTCCATTTTTGACCAGCAAAGCCGAATCTCTTATGGGATTCCAGAGGTGCTGCAATTGACCTTGCATTCATATTACCAATTTCTTTGGTAGTGGAGCTGGTTTTGTACCCCAAGAATACTAGCCTCACAGTCACAAAATAAATAGGGCAAAGGTTTAAAACCTCTGGTGGTGCAAATTGTACGACTTGCTATTTTTTTTACTTCTTTGGTTGCTGCTGTTTAAGCCATTTATCCCAGTTCTTAAATCAAAGTAAATAGAACTGTTCTGGAGAAATCACTTTTAAAAAGCTTAGTATAGGCACAGTTCAAACTACTACAACTATCTCCTGTGGGTGGTATTGATCACGATAGAACAATGTGTTCCTTCTGTAATGTATTCAATAAGCTGCTATTGAATGCGTAATGTGTGATGAAAACATCTAATTGAAATGCTATGTTAAGCTTCATCCTGGGCTAGGATCCAAATACATCCAATCACATTGCTAGCCCAGGAAGCACCTAACCAATCACTTCTCAGCAAGCTCCCTGAATGGGAACGTCCGTGATTGGTCCTTATGTATGCAACCTTTTTGGTTGGTAAATGTACAGTAGGCATGGCTACATTAGCCGGGAGAGTTTAAAAGCAGGACAGCTGCAATGTAAAAGCTGTTCTGGCTATCAGATGTTGATCCGTGTTGGAGTTGTGTTCGAGTTGCTGAATAAAGCTGAATCTTTGCTGAATCACTCTCCGACTACTTTGTTAAGGGAGCAAGTTAACACCTTCTACCAGCCATTACTGAGAAAAAGGAGGCCAATATACACCTGCCATACAACAATCCACCCACCCCTCTCCCCTGTAGAGTCTTGGCCCACAAGTTATTCCTCAGAATAAGATGCTTAAAGGAATTATGTGTGTAAGAAAATATTAGATCTCATTGTCCCAGAAGATTTCAAAATGAAATGTGTTAGGCCCTCAGTGGGTTTTTTCCCTGCTAATCTGTTCCAGAGGAGAAGTCCCAGTATTTCTTGATGTTTTTGTTGCTATCAGTTTCTCTTCTGTTCTTGCTGCTCTTTCACTTCATTTCTTGGACCTCTCTCCTGTCCTCCATGTCTTGTTACTGATAAAGCTCTTTTTTGTGTGTCCATTCAGCTCAAAGCAATGATGAAGACTATGTCCAGTGGGAACTGCACCTTGAATGTTCCAGCCAAGAACTCATACCGCATGGTTGTGCTGGGAGCCTCCAGGGTAGGCAAAAGCTCCATTGTCTCACGGTTTCTTAACGGCCGCTTTGAGGACCAGTACACGCCCACCATTGAGGATTTTCATCGCAAAGTCTACAACATTCGAGGCGACATGTATCAGCTAGACATCTTGGATACTTCTGGGAATCATCCATTCCCTGCCATGAGAAGACTTTCCATACTCACAGGTTAGAAGACTATATAGGCACATGTCTGTGTTAGGGTTGTCATCAGCAGTGTTCCCTCTAAGCTGAGTTAGTGTGAGCTAGCTCACAGTTTTATAGCCTCTGGCTCACACATTTTTGCCTCTGCTCAGGAAGGATGGCTCCAGAGCAAGCTCATTTATGCAGTTAGCCAAATTGCTCACTCACTTCTTTAACTGCCAGTAGCTCACAAAGTAGAATTTTTGCTCACAAGACTCCACAGCTTAGAGAGAGCATTGGTCATCAGCTATTCAAGTTTGCCCACAGACACACTAGTCCTGTTTAGATGATGACAGACAGAGTCTCAAACCCAGGCTAATGGTGCTTGGGATGGCCATTTATGTAAGGCTGAATGCAAAGGCAAGGTTTTGCTCAAAACAACTCTGTGTTGAGTCTCCAATAGGTGGCCAACCAAGATAGAGAGGCCAGGATCTAAACCCTGTCTCAGTAATCTCCAGGCAGCCACAAATTCTTTAGCTTTGTATATCTTTAACAACAAGTCACCAACCTGCATTACAAGAAGCCATTGAAACTAGGGGAAGTTTCTGGAACAGTTTTTAACAAGACATAGGAAGTAATTGATAAAAGAAGTGGAAAGGTATAGAAAAATCCCAGTGAGTCCAGACAAGCTCTTAAATGCACCTGAAATAAAGACCCCAGTTATGGATTCTCAAATATTTATTAGGTGAAACTGAGAGGCAAAAATGCAAACTAATTGAAAATCAATTGGACCAGCAACTAATTTAATGAAAATTGATCTTCCATTTTTTTCCCTTTCTCACAGTGGTAGTACCATGTTTGGCTTTACCATTTACTCCACCTTTGTGTAGTATTTGCAGTATTTTGGGGTCATTTTCACTGAGCAACCCTATGCAATACACTTTTTTATATGTGACCTGGAACAGCAAAGCAGATCAGATTAGTTCTACTGGGTGCACCTGCATAATCCACTGAGACTAAATAGGGTGAAGATGTTGAGACTGGGACTTGGCTGAGCTGGATAAGGATGGGCAATTCAAAGTGCTGTAATAACCTATAAGGAGTTAGGGATTAGCAATCTGAGTACAGAGGTACCCAAGATAAGAGTATGTATCCCATTGAAAACTCTGCACTTATATGGTATATTTGCACTCTGCATCTCATTGCAAAAACCTTCAACAGCTGTGTGTACCCTTTTTCATCTCCTTACCTGTACACCAATGTTGTAGGGTGATTCTTACCAGCAGACTCTGAGGATAAGTCTCTAGGCAACAGTTATTCCTGTGTCCACACTTCATGTGATATTGGGTGGTGGAGTGCTCTTCTCATGCAGAAGAATTTTCTAGTGCTTCAGTATTTTTCTGCAACATGTGCTGGCCTTTTGCTATTGGGAGGAGATTTTGTACAGCATCAAAGTTTAAAAATGCAAGTTTCTTTTTCAGATGTTCTGAGCTAAGTGGTGGCAGGTCTTAAAGTCAAGTCCCACATCTTTTTGCATGCTGGAGAGGTCAAGGCTGCCCAGCAACACGTTTCTTGCTAGTGGAAGTCCCTTTGTGTATTGCAAGCCCAATGGTTAAGTGAAAAAGGAAGGCAGAAAATTATCTAATACATGCGTGACTACAGTAATACTGTAATTACTGACTACAGTAATACTGGAAACTGTTATTTAAACAAAAGAAGGTGGTAAAGAAAATGCATCAACCAGATCTTGATGTAACTGGAGGCAGATCAGGCACCAGCAACAGAGTCAAGGAGTAGGGCTCACTTCCTAAGACCACTGGACATTGGAACCCAGCAGAGCAGATGGGGAAGCTTCATGCTTTTACTTTCCATATCTGTTTCTTGTAACCCATCAGTAGCAGATGAACACAGCTCCCCAGACAGAATACAACTGGTCATACGAAAGGGCAGTAAGAAATTTTTGGTTGTTGCCTAGAACTGACTGAAAGAGATCTGCTTTGAACACCTTTCGGAGGGACAAGGGTTAACAAACTAACAGACAGACAGACAAATACATCAAGTGGGACCCAGGAAAGAAAAGAGGGCAAACCAGGAGCTGGGGAAATAAGTATGCAGAATTCCATGGAGGGCATGGCACCCAAGCCTAATAGAAATCTGAATTCTCAATGTTCCTTTCCCCTTCCACAGCTGCAATGGGATTAGACAAACTTCACCAACTCACATTCTCTCTTACATACAAAAATGAAAGGCACATGAGTCTTCTTCCTGACATCTAGAAGCTGCAGAGGTAGGACAGTGGAGCTAGGAACTGGGGTTGGTCAGATGGAGGATAGGTAATTGAACAGATCCAGAAGACAGGAACTGGGAGAGTGGATGTTGGGTGCAGAGGGTGTGAAATAAGATATGGAATTGAGCACCTAGCATTAAAGATGTATTTAGAAGCATGGGAGCAATGAATCAGGACTGATATATGAGGCTGTGAAAGGTGAAGCTGAGCTTGATCAGAGGAGAGGAAACAGGCAGATGTTAAAGGAAGCATAGCAAACCGAGTAAGGGTGGCTGAACGGGGGGGGGGGGCAAGGCAGTATCAGCAAAGGTTTTCAATTTATGTGGAAATTCTTAGAGAGGAAATAGGAGGACAACTCCCTCCATCCGTCCTCCAAAATAAAAAGAGCAAAGGGTATGTTTGGCACAAAACATATGTAGCAGCCCTGCCATTTAACATAACACTATTTTACTAAATTACTCGGTGTAAAAATACATGGTGATTCTTATATACTCTGATGGCTCCTGAAACATCTGCAAATAGAACTCCTGTTACCCAGATTCTTGCATATTTGAATGATTTGGTTATACCATAGAATATTCAGGGTACAATGAGGGGTGCTGTTAAATTGTCTTTGCTCAGTCGATTGTAACAAAGCTTTGTGTTTTTTTCCCCTCTGTTGTGGGCACATTGCAGGGGATGTTTTCATCCTAGTCTTCAGTTTAGACAATAGAGAATCCTTTGATGAGGTCAAGCGACTTCAGAAGCAGATCCTTGAAGTCAAATCTTGCCTGAAAAATAAGACTAAGGAAACAGCTGATCTTCCCATGGTAATCTGTGGCAACAAGAATGATCACAGTGAACTGTACCGCCAGGTGCGTTCTGAAGAAGCTGAGAAACTCGTTTCTAGCGACGAGAACTGTGCTTACTTTGAAGTTTCAGCCAAGAAGAACACTAACGTGAATGAGATGTTCTACGTCCTCTTCAGCATGGCCAAGCTGCCACATGAGATGAGTCCTGCCCTCCACAGGAAGATCTCTGTCCAGTACGGTGATGCCTTCCACCAAAAGTCCTTTAAGATGAACAGGGTCAAAGAGACAGATGCCTACGGCATGATCTCCCCCTTTGCTCGCAGACCCAGTGTCAACAGTGACCTGAAATACATCAAATCCAAAGTTCTCAGAGAAGGACAAACAAGGGAGAGAGAAAAATGCACAATCCAATGAAAAAAAAAAGTTCATTCAGATGGAGCGTGTTATGTAGTGTATGTACAGTGCCTTAAAAGAAAATGGGTGGTTGGACAAAGTTCTTAATGGGTTCATGGGGCCCAAGTGGTGACAGTAGATTACAATCATGAGGCTCGTGCTTGAACCTACTTGGTAAACAATACCATACCACTGATATAAAGACATAATCTAAAGGGTAGTATTGTAAATACTTGAAGATTCCAGGTAGGGGTACCTGCCATATGTGGCACCTGTGACTAGGTCCTTCATCCTTTTGGGGTACTTACTCTTCTTGTTTGTTCTTCTGCCGTCTGGAGAGCCGTGGTGTACAAAGAAGGCCAAAGTTCAGTTTTGTATACAAGGAATTAGTACAGGATGGATCTGACTGGCATCAGTTGGCCATGTTCCCTTCATTTAGTATGCAGTCATTGCCGACAAGGGGAAATACCTGTAACATTTTCCTCCAGTGCTCTTCAGACATAAGAATCACAATTCAGCTTCTTATCTTGGGGCAATGAACTGATGGTACCTTCCAAGACAATTCTGTAACACAGTTACATGGATCTGATTTGTCTGTAAGTGGGTCTGTCTAGTTTTTTAAAATATATATATATAGTTTGTTGGGTAGTCAGAGGAAAAAAATGCACTTTTTTGTGTGGCAGTGGCAATTTTTCATAGCCTCAATGCAAATGTCACTTTGTATCATAGCTTTCATTTTTGTTTTTGTTTCCCAAGCAAAACCAGATGGCAAATTGTCTGTTTTAACTGGTCTGACTTAATCTGCGAGTATAATCTGGAAATGCCAACTGTTTTCCAGTTTGATAATGTGTACAGTAATTGAAATTGTTGTATTGTAAAAAAAAAAAAAAAAGCCCAGCACACCTTATGGTATCATGTGACTTTGCTTCATATGATTTTTGTATATTTTATTATATATACACTCCAACACCATACTATTCTCTTTGTTATGCTCGCATGTTCACATCCACAGTGGATATGCAACACCAATTCTCACGCTTTCTCTGGTATCCCACATCAGCTTTCACACCAACTCCAATTTGGAAATGGGATTTACCTGGGAGTAAGCCCTATTGTACATGATGGGACTTATTACTGAGAAAACACACATGTAACTGGCCTGCAAGTGGATCCAGTATAAATATTTTCTAATAGCCAAGGAACTTCTGACACTGGGTCTCTCTCAGCTAATCATATAAATAGTAAGGTACGGAGTTTTGTTTAGGATGCAACTGTCTTCCAGAGTCCAGTGGTGGGGGTTTCACTTCATGAATGTAAAACATTTCTGCATAGCGCTCCTCCTGTCAAGCTGATTCATTTCTTCACAGCAGAATTCTTGTTGAGAAGGACAGAAAGAGACCCAATCTGTCATTAAATCCCAATCTGAGATTCTATCTGTGGCCTAATGTAATTCTTGAGATCTGTGGTATTTCCCCCTTGCTCCGCCTTGGCAACAACCACTTTTTGCCTTGAGCCTGGGATAGCTCTTTGCTCATAACAGATGATAATCTGAGTGGAATACATGATTTATATGCTTGAGCCATACTGTGAAGGTTTGTGCCTATTCATTAAAACAGAGAGCCACTGAAAGTAGGAAGTGAGATACAACAGCATGCACTAGCTTCCTAATTCTTGCTTATACTTACCTAGAAGTCCCCTGCCTGAGGCTCTCTGCTTTTTTTTCTTTTTCTTTTTTTGTAAACTTGGTGTGCTGGGGCAACTGTGTGCACTGAACAGACACATTTAAAAATTACCTCAGACATGAATGTGCATTGTTTTGTGTGTGTGTGTGTGTGTGTGTGTGTATAGCTGAGGGGGGAAGATTTCAGACTTTGGTAGTGCTGACACTGTACACAACGTGTGTTAAAGATATTCCATACCAGCCCTTGAATATATTACACCTCTATGTTATATTATACCTCATATTCTGTATATATGTAAATACCTGGCTTGTGTACTGGTGGAAGTTGCAAGCCAGACTGGCATTGAATGAATGTTCAACCTGCAATCTAACAGGTGACAAAAGATTAGGGGTAACTTCTATGTCGAATTCTATAACAGACAGAATTGTCTCTCTCCTTACTCTTCTTCCCTACCAGCCTCCTTTGCCTTGCAATGTAAAATTTCTAGTGCCATGGCAACCTTCTATATTATTTTCAAGTGACTCAGAATTTGTATAAATATCCTGTTTCTGAATAAAAATGATTTATTTATTAGCTGTGTCCTGTCTGTTGTATATTTTCTCTAAGTACAGTTAGATAAACTATTGGTGATGAGTTATGTCCGAAACTAGATCATCCAGTTGAGTCAGAAAGTCAAGTTCTCATTTCTTCCTTCCTCCAAGGAACTTTGGATGATATTATGTATTTATATTCCACTTTCCCTCCCAGAAGCGCAAAACAGTTCATCCCATTTATCCTCTCACAACAAGCCTTTGAGGTAGACTGTTGAAAAAGAGTAACTGGACTCATATCACCCAATTAACTTTGTAGCCAACACAAGGATCCAAACCCTGGTCAAAATCCAGCCTTGTAACCCCTATAGTACATTGGCTCCTGGTGCTGAATGTAGGAACATATGTAGGTAGCGATAGTATTTACAATTTAAACACATGCCTTTATATTTAATAGTATTAATGAGCTCCTAATCTGCGGACATGCCCTAAGATCCCATGACCCAGCTGCAGGGCTATTTTTGGGCAGGAACGCACAGGAACGGAGTTCCGGCTGGCCAGGGGTTGATTCGGGGGATCGCCGTTCCCCCGGGAGAGGGGCGGGAGCGGGGCACACGATAAAGCCCCGCCCCCTGCTTCCGGTCGGGGTAAAATGGCGATTTGACACACCCTGTAAGTGCTCAGGGTGGACAGGTGTTCCTTACAGCAGTTTGTACTGTATTTTGGTCCAACGCAGCTTCCCCCAGGCAGGGGGAATGACTGGCAGGCATCAAGACCCAAGAGAGAGTTGAGATTGGTGTGATCAAGTCTCGGAGGAGGCTTGTATTACACTTTGATCCCCTCTCCCGAAGCGGGCGAGCGCATTCAGGGGGTGTGGCCTTATGACACACTTCCGGCGATGTCAGGGGGTGTGCATATGCTAATGAGTTATGCTAATGAGTTCCCCTAGCTCTTTTTCTATGAAACAACCCCTGCGGCTGGCTCCCAAGTTGGCCACGCCCAGCAGGAACTCATTAGCATAACAGGCCACACCCAACAGCAGAAACTCATTAGGATTGGCTACATTAGGGGTGTGTGGCCTAACATGCAAAGGAGTTCCTGCTACAAAAAAGCCCTGGGTTTTGACAACAAACAAGGTAAACAGAATAACAAGCAAAAGGTGGGTGTGGCTGGATAACCACACTTCTGGTAACATGGGGGTGTGGCCTAATGTGCTAATGAGCTGTGCTGTCAGGGGTGTGGCCTAATATGCTAATGAGTTCCTGCTGGGCTTTTTCTACAAAAATAGCCCTGCCCAGCTGTACTACAAAGGCTTAGAGACTGCTGTGCAAGTTGATTGAGTTGCTGTTCATTCTAAAGTTTTAAGACTTTTATCATTCTGGTTGCCTTACCAGTGGACCCAGAAATATTACAGCTTAGTCTACCACATGAAGGTTTCAGTTGACCCAGTAGGCCTCAATCATGAGAGGGGCCGACAATCTGATGATTTCCCTGACACACAGTGATCCTCAGCAGACAAAGGTGCTTTTAGCCACAAGTCTTTCTGCCAAAGAGTAGTCATTCTCCTGCTCCCCCAGGCAGTTCTTAGGGTGACAGCAGGGCTATAGAAATTGATGTCTCCCTAGTTCTTTTTGCTCCTTTCTTTGAGAAGGCAGCATATTCACTGTAAACTGAAAACGCTGACAAAAGCTTATGGGAGTTCCAGGGGAAAATACGTAACTATCTACTGAACATAAGAACATAAGAGAAGCCAATGCCGGATCAGGCCAATGGCCCATCCAGTCCAACACTGAGAGAAGACTGTAGGACAAACTGGATTTGCTTCTAGAGCAACAGGTCCAAAAAAAGTGCTATGAAAAAGAATGAGTATGGGGTTAGGATAGCTCAACAAGTAATGCCACTAAGCAACACCTATGATGAACAGAAGAAGAAGCATGGAAACAGCATTCTTATGGCTCTAGATCTCTGGTGTCAGTCATCATGACATCAGCAACATCACAGCTTTATCAAATAGGCACCAATGGCATTCATGCAACCACACTCCACATAGCATTCCGAGGGCCGTGGCCAGGCTAGGTGAATCACATTTCCCTACTGATAGCACATTCCTGTTTGAATGCTGAGGAAAATGCAATATCCCCCAAACGGAAGCACTTCCTGGGCAGGGAATCTAGCTCCCATGTTATAAATGAACGACAATTGCATATTTGTTGCACTCAAAAGTGATTATCTAAGAAGACCCTCAGGACCCTTAGGAGGGATATATCTATCAACTGAAGAGGATGAACACATTCCCTTGAAGCAATGATAAAGTGAAATAAAGATACGCACAATATATATTTCCCATGGGTTTCCATAGAGACCAGCTCTTATCTGAGTTAGACAGTGATGACTATATCAGCAGTACAGTTTGAAGGAGGTGAGAAGCAAAATTATTGTTCCTGCCCAAGTGATTTTCAGCTTTGCCTTTTAGACAGGTCTGTTACTCGGCTGGGGCTAATGGGTGCATCCCTTCCATACATACCTGGAGCACTCATTAGTCATACTTTCCCCCCCAAATATCTGTTTAATTATTATAACATGACAGTTTCCATTTAAAGAATTCTGATTGATATTGAATAGGAAAAGTTGGGGTCTGGGGGGAAACCAGGTACTCTCCAAAGAGTGGCAGTGCCTCAAATCAGGTCGGGGTGGGTATTTCAAGAACATTAGCACAATCATGTTGAAATGATCCTAAAATAGCCCTCTTGCTGCTTTGAATCAGAGCCTGATGGGGTGCTTAAAGAGGATGTGTTAATTAAGGAAGTAA